GGCATTTGGCCACTCTTAAAGAACACAACAATAGCCATGAAGATCTGCTGACACAGTCAGTGGTTTCCAAGGGAAACTTGGTAAAATGAGGGACAGGTTCTCAGACACCTGCCTGGGGGAGAAGGAACAAAACTTTGCCTCTGGTGCTCCCAGACTTGCCTAGAGCTTCCTGCTAATCACATTTTGACAGCTGTCATGTACATAGATGAGCTGCCTAGAAAAAAACGTCTGCTTAGCGCGCACACACACACACACACACACACACACACACACAAATGAATGAGGGGTGTTGCACCTGAAGGTTAATAGGCGGCTTCCTTCCCATTCCTCCGTAGCACCACAGTTAGCCACAACTGAAGGTAGTTGCTGGGCTGAAAGGTCTAATGCTAAATTCTATAGAGGAATGTGTCATGGATAATTATTTAGCCTGGATGGTCTTCATAGCGTTGGAAGGGGTCCTGAAGGCCATGTAGTTCAATCCTCTCTACTCAGTGACTTAAGAAAATTCCCCATGCCGCCAAAACTGTCATGACAGAACAGTGCTGCCAGATACACAGGAGATACAAGTAAAAGAGCAGCAATACCTTCATTACGCTAGTTAATGTTCCCAGAGCCACACTTGGCGATTGTGCAGAATTTTCCTTGACACAGAGGCAGCTATAAACAATGATGTCACTGCACGCTCCAGCAGCTGCTAATCATATGTTTAGAAATCCATGCAGTCTCTGTGCTTAGCCATTCAAAACAATCAGCCTGGGCTGTCACTCTGCATTTTTTCTTCTATATTCCCTGCCAGCAGCAGGAAGGAAATGGTTTTCTCAGTTGTTTACATGGAAAGAAGGTAAAGAAACCCTCAAGTCAAGCTTGATCATAATAATTATACAGGCACATCCATGCAGTTTTCTTGGCAACAGATAATTACTTGCCCTTGCCTTCTTCCAGGATGTTTCTTCAATTTGCCAGTTTAGCCGATAGCCCTGGAGTTTCCTGGTAAACTCCCTTCCAAGAACTAGCCAAACTCAACCCTATTTAAGTTTTTTTGAGGTCAGCAAAGCTGATTTGAGACTGACACACTGCTGTGACATTCGTTCACTGACAATATGGAAAATGCTTTTCATTTGCTTCCCTCTACCAAATTACACTATGGAGTTGGAGCAAGCTTAGTGGAAGCCGGCAGATTTTTGGGTGAAAGGACCATGAGTTCAGTTCTGCTACAAAACTAAACTGAGGGGCTTGGCAACTGCCAGGCATTAGAATGACGTTCCTTAATCTAAGTTAATAACCCACCCACTCCACCAGCAATCACCATTTCACACAACTCCAGCTCACATACTGTAGAGTTCTAATAAACACAACAAAGTAGATGTGGTATTCCTCATGTCCACCCCAAGCTTATAATCTCCTGAAATCAGCAGGTATGATCAGAATTCAGCATTTTGGAGCTTCACCAATTATTCTGAATCCACGGTATCAAACTAGGTATAGAAGAGCAGCATTTCTTCTAAAAGAGGTAGGTGATGACGAGATCCAGAATTCTGTACCCAGAACTTGATATTTTAGCCATGGTTAAGAGTACAACACAGACCTGGTTCACATGTCATCCTAAGCCACAGTGTGGTTTCTGTGCTTTTGGCTTATGTATTGTTTGAACTCAGTCACTGTGGCTTGCAAAACAAGGTTTTGTGAATCAAGCCAACTGTGGTTTCTTCAACAAACCATGGTTAAATAAAATAATGTGTGATTCGAGTCATTTTTTGGTAAGTATTGCTATCATCCCTTGTCGTAAAGCTGGAAGGTTTCCCAGTTTTTAATTTTTTTAAGTGCAGCAACACAGTTGCCAGTAGCTGTTTTTATACTACTCTGATTGTTCCTGCTTTTGTGTTATTGACTAGTTCAGCTGCTATGGAATAAATGTGGCCATTCTATTTTTCCCTTCAAGACTTCCTGTAATGTTTCATTACTATTTCCTGTTTTTGTCTGCAAAAACAAAATTCTTCTATTATTCTTCTTCTATGGCAGGCAGCCTTAAAAAAAGTTTGCTCTCAGTACAAATAAAACTGGTTTCAAACATATTCTATGCAACACATTTTTACTCAAGTATTTTTTCCTATTTTGTTACTCCTTCTGTTATATTACATTTTATTTGCCTAAAATAAAATAAAGAGAACCCTTCCCTCCAAGATTCACTCGGCTATGTCTAAAAAGGAAAAAAAATAATAAAATATATAAACACAGTTGGATTAATGTAAAATATGAAACTGTGAAGAGAAAGAAGTCATTGTTTACAATATGACTAATTATAGAGGTTGAAGAAATTTGAGCATCTTGAAGAAAGCCTCATATCCTTTATCATACAGTGTTTAGATTGTTTTTAATTTTATTTATATGAATTTTTTTTGTTTGTTTTCTCTTGTGAGCTGCCCAGAGTCATGTATGTGAGATGGACAGCTATATAAATTGAAATAAATAAATAAAGTGAATATGAGCTTTTAAAACAAGCCATTATATTTAAACTGATAATAAGCCAGTGTAATGGTATGTGGGAATGACCTTGGAGACAGGCGGGAGAGCCACAGATGGGACAACTGGCATGTAAAAGATGTCTCAGCCCACAGAAAGGGGGATGGTGTGGGAAACATTTCAGAAGGGACCCTCTCTAGTTTTCCAGAGAGTAAAAGGAAAGGAGGGGAGAAATACTTTCAGTCCTGCAAGTTTCTGTTAATGTAACCTCACAATAAAGATAGAGCTGGACTCCTGGATGTGCTTCTTGTCTGGATACCTCACTGGGCCAACAGCCAGAAATCTTGCCTTATCAAGCCCCAAGGCAGTCAAACAGTGGTTTCTATATGTAGCCTAATCACCCCTGTCTTCACTCAAACAATTAAACAATCCAGGTGGAAATAGCTTGGAGCAATATTTGAACCCAACATTATTATTATTGTAAGCAAAACACCAGGAACCTTAGCCAGTATAAAATTAGGATTTGAAGTTAGCTAACAAAATCTAACTGGTATGGCAAAAAGATTCATAATCCTGAGTTAAGATGTCACAGAAAGTTATTCCCAATCCGATTTATTAATTCATGTGAAAGGAGGGAACAAACAGGTTGCATGAGCCAATTAAACAATACACAGCTTGTCTGTACTGCAGTTTATTAAGCCAGAATTTCTGGTTTATTACTATGAGTGGTAGCAATCAATGCAAATAATCAAGTTAGAAGAGCTTAAAATACTGTAAAATATTGCATTTGGCCTCCTGAAGTCATTATTTGCAACAATCCAGGGAGAAAACAATGAAAGGGTAAAATCAGAATACTAAGGAATAAGTTACCCATCCTGAAATCTTACAAGAAAGTGCAAAGAACATGGACATCTTAAGCCTTCTTTAACATACTACTCATGTAATATTTATTAAGGTTTAGAACTGTGCAAAGACTTGGACTCAAAAGTGAAAATCTATGGCATGTACATAGCACTTGTCAGGGACACCTTAAAGCAGTGTTGTCCAAACTTGGCCA